ATTTCCCAGTGAGAAATTTCAGATGGTCAAACATGTAATCTAAAATGTTTCAATGCAGAAAATTACTTTTCCCATAAGAGAGTTCCAAACTGTTCATATTTAACTTGTGATGGGCTGGTGTTTTGAAGGAAGAAAACAACTTTTGCATCTTTAAGCCTTTAAATGTCACTGGATTTTGATTTCTCAGTTTTGAAAGGAGGAAAGGACATAAAAAAATCTGAACAAAGCAAAAATCCTCCACTTTCATTGACATTTCAGTATAAATTGTTGAGACTTTTTGGCTTTTTAAACTCAAAGCTACTGTGAAGCTTTGTGGGAAGGAGACATGGGACAATACAACCCATCAAGTGTTTTAAATCAAGTGAAACATTTTTCTTTTTAAAAATCTGATTGGTTTTGTCATTGATGATGTAGGTGGGGCCGGGCTTTAGGAAGGATCTAAAGTGTTTCTGATTTGAGGGCCTAGTGGAGGAGGCTGAAAAAACCCCAAAAAAACCTTTTCACTTTCATGCTGAGCACATTCAGTATGGAAATCCCCAGAACCTGTAAACATAAACCTCAACTTTCTGTCTTTGCAGCAGTGTTTGTGGCAAAACTGCCTTTTCAGTTGTAGGAGAGGATAATCCAGTGATACAGAATAAATTCTAATTTCCTAAGGAACTGGGTTTCTTTTGAAGCCGTGGAGGCTTGCATGGTTTGTAGGTGTTCTGTTGGTTTTGTTTATTTTCGTAGCTGCTTTGTTTATATATATTTTTTTATAATAGCCTTTTACATAGGTGAATGTGAAAAGGACCTCTGAAAATGACAGCTTGTGAAAAGTGCATTTAAAGTGAAGAGGAGAATCAGGAGGCAATGCACAATGGCTTAATGCTGTCTATCTATTTCTCAGAACAAAAGACATTTATTTGAACCTGTCTTCTTTATTCATTTGACAACTCTCTGGTGCTCCTTTGCTAATGTAGCTCAGTGGTACTATTGCTACAGATTATTGCACCTATAAAACTGGTCTGTGCTGATTTAGGGAGATGCACTTTGGTAATTTACAGTGAAAATTTATGTTCGTTGAGAAAAATAAAAGGCTTCATTGAAAGCTAATATTAATAAAAATGCCATTTATGTGGCATGTTGTTTTGGTTTTTTTTTTTTTTTTTTGGTCCAGTGGCTGTTTATTAACTAATTCAGCTGCATAAAAAACACATTCCACTCTGATCTCTCTGCTCAGGCTACCTGAATTTCCATGCCTGTCTGGGCATGTTGTAGCATTGTGCCTGTGAGAGGTGTGCTGCCTCATTACTGTACAGTTCAGTATTCCACATCACAGCTCTCTTTGTGCCTGGCTACCCTGGCACGGAAGAAGATCAGTGTGGCACCATCTTAACTCATCCACCTGCACACAACCCATGTGAAAGCAATACCATGGAAGGTGTGTGCATTAACCCAGTGACATACCTGGAATTTTGATCTGGCTAGCAGGAGCTCAGGTTCTCAGTTACAAGTCTTACCCTAGTTTTTTTTATATTAGCCCCATCAGAGGGCATGACTTTTTAGTGGATTTGTGCTGTAATATGGTGCCACTTTCCTTCCTACCTACTTCTGCATTTGAGCTCCTTTAAGGGTCTTACACACTCTCCAACAAATCTGAGTGACTCCTAACTACTGCTGTGGTTTGTGTACCAAATGCATTATGGCAGGCACAGGTATGGCATGTGTCATACTCTCCTTGTTCTTCCTGCCTGCAGCTTGTGCTGTTTATTCCCTGGGGTGAATCCCCTTGAAGTGTTCAGAGCTGGATATATTTCCTGCTCATGTTCTGAAGATTTCAGTCCATGTATTACAATTAATGTTCTTGCAAGGTGGCCTCTCCATATCATCCTCTTTACATGTGTTGCCTCACTGGTGTCTGGTGTTCTGCCCATCTGGAATTCATTCAGAGCAGCTCTGCGTGTGTCCTCACTGTCCCCAAAGATCCTGCTTTAAAGGAGATGCACCATGTCCCAGACAGATCTCTCCCTCTGTATCCATTCCTAAGGAACTATCCTAAGTTTAGTCTGATTTGCAGCCTGTTTTGTTTGGTCTGGTGCTTGCCATTCATTGTTCACTGAATTTTGAAGGTCAGGAAAAGTATGTTATCAAGGATTTATCCTTGGCAGTAACCAGTCCTGCCTGCCTTTCCCCTCTCCACTTAAACTAGAGAAAAAAGCAACATTTTACTCAGGGATGTATATATAAGTAATCTAGGATATAGAAAGACCAAATGTAATTTTCATTTAAATAAAGGCTGCCATTTAATTTAATATTATAGAAAATGATTAGATCTTAAACCCTTATAAATTACATTTGACAACTCTCTGGTGCTCCTTTGCTATTCCTTATGGCAATTATAAATGGCAACACAGGATGCTGGCAGAAATGCTCATTCTGACTGGAATTTGTTTATTGTGTCTTAATGAAAAGTGATTAATCTAAATCACTAGTGGGGTAGATGCTTCATCCTGGTCCCATAATGAGAAGTGGTAGTTTCAGGCTGAAAGTTCCCTCCCACTATAGCTTCCAGGAGAAAAAGTAGGAAAAAAAAGAAAAGCCCAGAGTCTGTCACTTTGCTTTCTCTGTGTGCCATGTAACAAATGTGTGCCAGTCCGAGCTGCGTGGCTGGTGGTGAGCTTTTGTTTTTCACTCTGACTGAGCCTCCTGCTTTCTCCATCCTGCTCTGTGTAGGACCAGCCTTTCCTGGGAGGATGGATGACAGCAGAGGTGTTGGGTGTTCGTTTCTCCATTTGAAGATTGGAGAGTGGATGTGGAAATTGGGTGAAGGCACGGGGCATGATTCATGTGATGTCATCTCTAGATATGGCCATTGTTAGGTTCTTCCACCTTTCCTAGTTTGGTGGTTTTATTAGCTGATCTTGTAACCACTGTTATGCATCCAGAAGAACAAATTGGCCAGATTTGTCAACCATCTGGTGGAAATACTGCCTTTCTTGTCTCATATGACCATTTCTTGAACTATCCACTGCAGATCATGTGCGACAGGGCAGAGGGGATGTTCTGTGTGTGTGCCATTTCATGTTCATGCTACTGTTAGCTCACTTGTGCTCCTTATTTGAGGACAGATCTCCAGAAGTAGCCTTTTAATATACAGCATTATTAACTACATAATCCTCTATTACATCAGGTGAAAATATTTTTATTCCTGAAGTATCCTTTATTTTAAATATAAGATGTCTCTGGATTGTCTTCTTAAATGGCCAGGCTTACATCCATTTCCATTCCATATAAGCAAGTGATTTTTTACTAAACTATGTTATAGTTCTCTGGCATAGGCAATATGCTTTAGGTGAACAGGGGTATAAAATGTCTTTGCAGTCTAATTCAAAAGTGACAGAAAAGTATCTTCAAATAGTTGTGAAATTATTATTGTTTGGGGCATAATGAAATTGATCAGATTAGAAAGAAGAAATGTACCAAAGCATCCTTTAGAGTAGAGATCTTGGAGGTCTCTTCTCAGGCTAATTCCCAGGAAATCAGTTGCCTGTGGGAGCGTTTCTTGTTCCCCAGACCGTGCACCAGAGCTCAATGCAAGGGCACTTCTTCAGGACTTGTACTGTGGCTTCCTGTGGGAATGGCTAGGGATTGATTTTGGGGCTGGTAAGTGGTATATGTGAGGGATGTTGAAGGTGCTTTGACATCAAGCTGGATTCATACAGTTGACTTTACTCTGGGAAAACATTCCCTTCTAGTTCAGCTTTTCATTCCTTAATGGAAAGGATCAGAAGCCGTTTACATTATATTCCCTTTCCCTTGGTGACTTCATAGAGTTAATGAGGTGCTTAAGATTAAACAAGCACTGAAATTTTTTGCTTGATGAAGGCCTAATATACCAAGAGTTTTACCATTACTTGAAACTGATTTTTGCTGTCAAAATTAATGTGTTTCCCTACTGTAGCCTTGAAGTTGGAGCTCTGTGAAGCTGGATAAGAGAAGTCAATGTGGACAAAGCCCAAAACTGCAGTGGATCTCAGCTAGCTGATCATTCTGCAGTGAGCTAAAAAAGGCCATTCCTAGATCTGTTTTCCTGCTGAAAGACAGTTTCTATATTTGACTCAGCTGCTGTATCAACAACCTGCTGTGTTTAGAACAGCTCTAATTTATTTCCCACTGTTTGCCTTTATTTTATGGTACTGGTATTTGCTTTAATGTGAAGTCGTTTTCTCCAGATGTTAATAAGATGGTATTAATGTTTCCACAACATTTTTCTTGATAACGTTTATGTAGAGCTTGCCATCTGATAGTGTGGAATCAACCCGTTTTAAAATATTGGTAATAATTTTCTAATTAAAATTAGAGGCTCAGAAGTGTTTTCCTCCCTGTAGAAATTGAGGTCATGCACTTTCCTATGCTTGGGGAAAATTATGTTTTCACTGACTGAATGAATGTCTCTTATTGTACAAATTGGGAGTGTGATATATGAAATGGTGTCAGTGTTTGCCCATGTGCATGTGAGCTATACCCAGCTGCCAGCAGCTGATCCAGGAAGGCATTCTGTGTTTCCAGGGAGCTGATGCTCTCATTTATAGCACTGCAAGCTGCCAGGTAATGAACCTTAAATCTCAGGAATGCTCTGTTGTTTACTTTTGGAGAGAGGATTCCACATGGGACGAGAGAGGTAGGAGACAGAAAATGGTCCAGGAAAACCTGGTGTGGCTGCCTGAAGTTCCTATATCCAACCAAAATCAACTATGGTACATAGCAATTTTTCTTTCTTGCTGGGCTTTCTGAATTTATCTGGATAAAATGAAAAAAAAATGAATCGCTTAAATCAGCAAATGAGTTGCCAAAGAAAATGAAACTGAAATACTAAAGACCCATCCTAATTCTGTGGGATGTTATACTCTTGAGTGATCTGAATATATCTGATAGGAGTCAGTGCTGTATGACCTAACTCTTAAATGATGTTCACTTTCACTGTTCCATTGACAATTTCCCTCCATTTTTTGATTTAGATCATGCTTCTTAGTGATCCAGAGATTGAGAGCAGCATCCTCATCAGCTCTGATGAAGGAGCGACCTACCAGAAGTACCGTTTGAACTTCTATATCCAGAGCTTGCTCTTCCACCCCAAGCAGGAGGAGTGGATCTTGGCCTACAGTCTGGATCAAAAGGTAAGCAATTAATTTAATGTTTCAATGATTTTGAGCCAGGAGTTGAAGGGGATATTGTCTAGAACTGCTCCCTCTCAGAGATGAAGAATTTATAGTGTGCTTTGCTTTTCTCACTTTGCAGGTTTAAATGTGCTCAAAAGCCATGCAGTGACTCCAAAGCTGGTTTGTTAAAAGGAGCTGAGTATTAGAGTGATCATGATGGGTGTGGAAACTTCAGTAGTGGTGATACTATGAAAGATGAAAAGAATTAGAGATTTGACATGACATATGGAGCTGTTCTAAAAATCTGTTGATTCGTAGGCGCTGATTTCTGCACTGTCTCTGAGGATGGAGCACTCGGGCTGAGTTGGTCTGTAACAGCTGGCTATTGAGCCTTGGGGGATGCTCATTCTGCTTGTAGACTGGAAGTGAGGGAGCAGCAACAGATGAGAAACTCCTCTGTGCCACTTTTAAGACTCTTTGCAGTGCCTTCTGTGAATGAGACCTCTCCAGTCTGTTACTTTGTCCTTAGCAGGTTTGCTCTTACATAGCACACACACCTCTGTCTTGAAAGGTGCTGAGCAGAGCAGGTGCAGTGTGGTAGTAAAGTGCTGTGGTAAGGAAATGTGTGCTTCAGTTCTGGAGCAGCAGTCCCCACTGCGGTCCAAAGCTGGGACACTGACAGGATGATCAAGTTAAAAATTCTACGAAGTTTAAAACTTGCCAAGTTTTTATCTTTCCTCTCTTATGTTTCTGTCATCCCAAGACTCTGGAAAGCAAAAACATGCTGAATAACCACCAAGTTTTCCTCATTGTGGTGGGTTGACCCTGGCTAGATGCCAGGTGTCCATCAAGGCCATTTGGTCACTCCCCTCCTCAGCTGGACGGGGCAGAAAATATAATGAAAGGTCTGTGGGTTGAAATGAAGGCAGGGAGAGATCACTCAGCAATTACCATCATGGGAAAATCACACTCAGCTGGGGAAACTAATTTAATTTATTACTTATCAATACTCTGCTGTACTTTACTTTATCCCTTTATACCCTACTCTATCAAATAAGAATAGAGTAATGAGAAGTAAAAACTAAATCCTAAAATACCTTTCTACCACCCCTCCCTTCTTCCTGGGCTCAACTTCGCTCACAATTTTATTTTTTCTGCATCCCAGCAGCAGAGTGGGACAGGACATGGGGGCTGTGGTCAGTTCATCACGTGTTGTCTCTGCCTCTTCTTCCTCCTCGGGGAGGACTCCTCACACCCTTTCCCTGCTCCAGTGTGCTGCCCCTGCCACAGAAGACAGCTCTGCACAAACTTTTCCAATGTGAGTCCTTTCCACAGGCTGCAGTTCTTCATTAATTGCCCCAGTGTGGACCTTTTCATAGGATGAAGACTTCAGGAACAGACTCTTCCAGTATGGGTCCCCTGTGGGCTCACCTTCACCTGTCCTGCCATGGGTCAAGGGGTCAGCCTGCCGCACCATGGCCTTCACTGTGAGCTGCAGGGGAACCTCTGTTCCAGCACCTGGGACACCTCCTCCCCCCTTCTTCCCTGACCTTGGTGTCTGCAGCGCTGTTTCTCTCATATATTCTCACTCTGTATGAAGCTGAAAATTTGTTTCTTCCCTCACTTCATGAATAATTTATCTCAGAGGTGGTACCCCTGTCACTGATGGGTGTGACCTGGGCCAGCAGTGGGTCCATATTGGAGCTGGCTGGTGTTTGCTTTCTTGGACGGCTTCTTGCAGCTTGTCATGGAAGTCACCCTGCAGCCCCCTCCCTGCTATGAAAACCTTTCCACACAAACCAAACACATGTGTTAACCTGTCAGATGTGGGGGTGTGTTCTGGGTGGGATTTTCAATTTCTGCAGTTATTCTTGAAGATTTCTGAGCTGGTCAGTCTCACATCCTAGCTATAGGAACAATGTAGCTAAAATGCTGTGTCTCTCTATTTGAGAATTTCCTTTGGGAGGCTAGTGCAAGTTTTTACCAAAGTAGTTACTGAGAATATAATCAAATAATTTCCTATTGCTCAGCTTCCCACTTGCTAAAAGAATGCTGTGGCAGGCACCAGGTGTTTTGCTGCTGTGCTACTAATGATTCTTGACTGACATTTGCAAGAACAAAGCTATTGTAAACACACCCCTTTCATAGTATCAAGTCTTTACAGTATGAAGGAGTTAGTCAAATGTCAAATAGTTTTCTGCACTCAGAGGATCAGTGTAACAGGGACTTTGAAGTAGGCTGGAAAGATCAATCTATTTAGTTGGTATCACAAAATGTCTCGATGCTACTTTTAAACTGGAGGTAATGATTTTGCATGATCCTGGTGTTTATACAGACAGGCTTGGAAGAAACAGGCATCTGATGAAGTAGTCACGTATGTGAGAAGCCAGATGAGCCAGATGCCTTTGCAAAGAGATCCATGTGCTGTGAGTGAGGGCCTCTGCTGTTGGGTTGAAGCACTGTACTTCTGCTTGCAGAGCTTTGTAATCTCTTTGTGATGTTAGCCATTGGAAGGAGAAATCAAAATACAAGGGAGGCACATGCTTGACTGTGAGGTGATGTTCCCCTGATCCAGTACAGCAATAACAGGCCAGGAACATTTTTGCTTCTGCTCCTTCAAAAAAAATACATCTGTGTGCACACCTCAGCTGCTATCTTCTGCCCAGGAAAAAGACAAGAAAAATGAACTGAGCTAGGAACACCCTGCATTTTATCCCAGAAACCGAATAAAATTGTTCAAACTGTAAGAGCAAAGATGAGTTGGTCTGTAGCTTGTTGGTCAAGTGAAAATGGAGCAATGCCAAGTTCAGGCTTTTCCTTGATGTCTGCCTTTGCATTCAAGGCCATTCATGCTTTCCTTCACTGGTCAGGTGGATGGCCTGAAGTGCTGGTTCAATGTGGGTCCTAGAATGGAACCATGGAGCAGTGCTTTTCCCAGTTGAAATGTTTGCTTAACACAACTGAGGTGTAGATTGTGCTGAGCCACATCTTGGGTTAGTAAGAGCTGTGAAAGAACTGTCACTCTGAGTAAGGATCACCAGGTTCACTGCAGTCACGGCTGATACTGAGATAATGGGCAGTGCTCTTTGAGTGTGACAGCAGTGCCATGGGAAATCCCCAGCTGAAGTCTTCTGAGAGGCCAGTGTAATGCATTCCTGCATGTCTGGAAACAGGGGCACTGCCACAGTCAAGTGGGAACCAGAGGTCAGCTCTGTCCTTCTCTCAGGTTAGGCCAGAGCATGAATAAAGCGTCTTTTAGGATTTAAGTCCCATCTACTTAAGAATATTCATCATGTCTTTTACATCTTCATGAGATTGTTGTGGTTGTTCTCTCTTTTTCTCTAGAAGCCAGATCTGGATCTCACAGCTTCCCACTCTACTGTGCCATGCCTTCTCTCCTAGATGTGGTTATGGGATTGTGCCAGTGGCAATGACCATTTCATCTCTCTGCTGCTCACCAGAAAACAGATAGCAAGAGCTTCTAAAATAAGTGTCTAGGGAGGCTGCAGTGGTGCTCACAGCTGTGAGGAGGCTATCCAAAGGGATGCCATGGTGGCAGGGGCTAATTGTCCAACTGCAGCCTAGTTCTGCTCATGCTCCTGTGTCCTTTGGTTTTGTGCCCATTTTCCTGCAAAGCACCATGAAGTTGCCTGGCACAAAACAGGTGGAGCTGTATGAAATAGTTCTTGCTTTCTCAGTTCATATGTCCATTTTTTTGGGATAAACTGTTCTGAAATACTTCTGATTTGATGCATGAGAGGGCAATAAAATAGAAAGTTTACCATTAGCATGCAACCTGCAGGTAATATTCATCCACTGATACTGTGACAAGGGAGGTGACTTGCTGTATGCTCTACAGTGCAGACACTGCTACAGTGGGACGCCATATTTTTCCACCTCTCTAAGTTTTACAAGTGTGTTTGATCCTTAATTCTATTTTAATGACTTTTTTAGGGACAGATTTAAAAATGCAAATGTTATTCTGAAAACAAATCAAGTACATACAATCCGACTCCCAGCAGCAGAAACTATTACGCAAAGGTCTAATCCATCCTCTTGTAACAGTAAATGTGTAAACAAGTTGGAAAAAGTAATTTCATATCTTAGATTAAAATAAGTGTTTCAGATTAATATTTTTTCTTATTCATTTTCTTTCAATTAAAAATAATAATAATGTGGTGTTTTAAGTAAGCTGTAGTCAAGTTGGAAATTAATGAGAATGATGAAGCTGGAAATCTGTTTTGCTTAGTATGTTGTTCCACACAGTACAATGAAATCAAATAGGGACAGTTCATATCCCTACAATTAATGGTTTCAGTAACTGTCTAGATAAAAATATTTTAGAATTATTTTGTTTACAAAAGTTGAAAACAATATCAAAGTTTTGGAATGAAATGTAAATAGTCAGTGTTTTGGATCTTCCCATTAAATTGTTTTCCTCTAAGGTCTTCTGACCTACAGTTCCATGGTGATTCAAACCTTTTTTTAATTATTGTTTTATCCTAAACATCCCTCCTTGTTTTTAGCTCATTTCTGCACAGCTGACAGCAATGTTAGGGTATTTGTCTAGTTGATTAAAGAAATAACCAACCAACTAAAAAACCTCATTTTGAATGCCCTCTTAGCAGAATTGTTGTTCCTTCCAAGTTGGTGTTTTAGAAAGTCTATTCCATATTCTATGACCTTCTTTAGGAGGAGTCCATCTCTTCTCCACAGAACTGTTCCTTGAAATACATATGGTTTCATGCCGAGAAAGCCAAAGACTTTGTGGTGTTACCACTTCCATCAAGTGAAATAATTGAATATAAAAACAGTTCAGTCACCAGTTCTTTTATTACTACTCCCACATAGGTATTGTCCTGCTTTTTCCTGGTTAGGGCAATTCCCAGAACAGGACTGAGTGAGATGGAGTTTAGCAGGCTTTCTGAAAGATACATCGCTGTGTGGCTGCTGGTTACTTTGTTGATTTAAGGACAAATCACTGTTACCACCATTTGTTTTCTCTTAGTAGTATCCAA